TCTGGATCACAGGTTTTGTCTGATGTGCTCCTGTGCTCTGCAAGGTGCAGCAGCTATACTTTGCTCTGCACAGGGAGTACTGCATAGCCCAGTGTATGGGTACCAGAATGTGACCTACTCACGTACAATAAAAGTAGATCTTCATCTTGTTTCTGCTCCATATTACAAGAGAAATACAGATATTCCAGAATATTGCAGTCCTAAAAGGGACAGAATATCTCCCGCCATGCACCAAGGACCCTCACCTGTCATATTCTGCCTTGGCAAATGGAGGGCAATAAGCACACTGTGTGCACTACCTAGAACTTTCCAGATTTTGACATTAGAGCAACAGCAATTTACTTGTGTAGAGACAGAAAGGGGAGAAAACAGAGGGGGAAAGGAAAAGGTGAAAGGGAAAGGGGAGCATGTCTTTTACTTGACCTCATCCCCTCAATATGCTGACATATTGAGTAGGTCGAGAGAGGTTCTCCTCCCCCTCTACTCTGCCCTGGTGAGACCGCATCTGGAATATTGTGTCCAGTTCTGGGCCCCTCAGTTCAAGAAGGACAGGGAACTGCTGGAGAGAGTCCAGCGTAGGGCTACAAAGATGATCAAGGGAGTGGAGCATCTCCCTTATGAGGAGCGGCTGAGGGAGCTGGGTCTCTTTAGTTTGCAGAAGAGGAGACTGAGGGGAGACCTCATTCATGTTTATAAATATTTAAAGGGTGAGTGTCACGAGGATGGAGCCAGGCTCTTCTCGGTGACAAACAATGATAGGACAAGAGGTAATGGGCACAAGCTGGAACACAGGAGGTTCCACTTAAATTTGAGAAGAAACTTCTTCTCAGTGAGGGTGACAGAGCACTGGAACAGGCTGCCCAGAGAGGTTGTGGAGTCTCCTTCTCTGGAGACATTCAAAACCCGCCTGGACGCCTTCCTGTGCAACCTCATCTAGGCGTTCCTGCTCCGGCAGGGGGATTGGACTAGATGATCTTTTGAGGTCCCTTCCAATCCCTAACGTTCTGTGATTCTGTGATTCTGTGATTCTGTGATATTATGTCTGTCACAGCGTACAATATCCACTGTCTAATATGCTACAAATATTGCAACTATAATTAATATACTGTATTTTTATTGCTTTAAACCAAATATGTATGGAAACTCTATTGAAGTGGGTCTGGTGTTCAGCTGTACAAGGATGTAGGTTAATTTAATAAATGAAGTCTTTTCTATTAGAATTTCCACCAGTACAAGAATGAAATATTGTCATTTTATACCTGTATCCATTTACACGGTCTTCTAGTCACGTTATCAGTCTCTAAACCTAACTATTGCAAAAGCATTCCGAGCTATAATTTTCATGCAGTATTGAAAAGGTAGCCAGAATGCAGCAATGAAGCAAAGAGCATCAACACACAAAGAATACTGACTTTTTCAAAATTATGTTAAAGGAAAAACAAATCAGTGAAAAAAACAAAGAAACAAGAACCAGACAAAGCAAATAATAATAAAACAATAACTGGAATTAAGAGTAGGATACACCCCTGAAAGAACAATGTGGATCAAAAATGCCAGAAAATAAACTGCACAGAATACAGATAAATTATTTATATACCTTAGTAGATTATAACACACAATAGTTTACTGTAGCTGCATATAATTTGTTCAATTAAATATGTATTTGGATGAAATAATTATTAATGGAAAGAAGATTTCCTAGCTATGTGAGATGGTTTGCTTTGTGAGAAATCCTATTCGCCAGCTCGGGAGCATCACAGTAACCTCAATAGTAGAAAACAGGTACACGGGCCAATGCCAATACAGAGGGAAACACAGAAAATTAGACAGAGGAAGATATCCCTGAATAATAGAGAGGAATCACTGCAGCTAAAATGGCTAAAATCATAATGAACACCAAGATATACATTCCAAAACATTATTAATACAAAAACTCTTGATCTGTAGCACTCTCTGAATAAGGATGCATATATTCAAGTATTTATTCAAATACTTCAGACCTCCACCCAAACTAGTCTAGGTGATCCTGCTCTGGCAGGAGGGTTGGACTAGATGATCTTTCAAGGTCCCTTTCAACTCCTAATACTCCACTTGTGCCCACAACTCTTGTTTCTCCCAGCCTATTAACTACAGTTGCCTTCTCAATGGCCCATCAGGACTACACGGTATTGCCCAAAAGTACAAAAAATACAAAAAACACTTCCAAAATCTTGCCTGTTGACGGTTCCCTGAATTCAGCCACCAACACCCAGAATGTCAATTGACCCTCCCTCCACTTCCACAAAGAACAGTATCCTGTCCCCATCTACTGCCAGGGCTCTGTCATTATTCTCCTGCCACTCACAATAAAGAGCACATTCCCAATTACATTTGGAATTTAGTATTTCCTTCCATTCCATCTTACACAGCTATTTGGAACAAATGAGTGTTCCACCAACTGTTCTGTCAGAAAATAGCTGATTAAAAACATGGAAAACCAAAACACTGAAGCTCATCCATTCTGTAGTGTTCAAACTAAAATATTTTTTGGAACTTGAGGGGATTTTTAAAATCCAATTTTTTGCTATTTCTTCACCTTTGCTAAAGGTGCAAAATTTTAAAATCTCATAGTCAAATCTAATTTTTCAAAACACCTCCTCCAAAGTTTCAAAACTTTCTAAAGTTATAAAATGAGAAACCAAAATTTTAAAAAGTGAAGGAAAAAATATTCATTGCATCATCTTCAAGACACATAAATCCCCAAATTTGAAACGTCAAAAAATTGTGTTTTTTCAAAACATAAAATATCAGATCAAAATGAAAATACAAATATTTACTGTTTTGGAAAAACTGTTGCTGTGGTATACTTTTATTGCCTAAAGTTATCTTCTTCTAAAATAAATGTGTGCGACTAAAATATATGTGTGTCCAGTTAGGTGCCTCGTTGCTATCTATCCACACCATCTTCAGATGTTATGACAGCCACCCTTCCTCACAAAGCAAAAGGTTCAGCACTAGCCTCCCAAAGACTTGAGCCAATAGCAGCAGAAGCTGGGTTGTGTCATTAAGTCGATAACATGAAATACAGGTATTCCCAACTTTTCTTTAGCTCATGAGGTAAGATAGTCGTCCAAATTTTCGAACTGTCTACTAGTGTTAGGTGTCTACATTGAGACAGTGGGACTTTAATTTAGAGGATTCCTGATCTCAGTGGCAGTCAGCTGGAGCTGTGTGTTCTGAGATATCAACTACTCTCTGAGGTAAACAAGGATATTGTGCAGTAGGAAGTATTGCATATAACTGCATACAGTATATAAGGGAGTACCGAGAGGACAACCCAAGGAAAGATCTTTAAATGTTTCCTAACATTATTTGGTTTCCTTAGATGGAAAGAACTGCTATAAAATTATTAATAAAGTAATTTTTTATCTTGCAACAAATAAAAAATAATTACAAATAGGACCACTTCAGTTAAACACTGAATTTACATGCCATTCTGAGACATAAAACCTTGTGAATTCTGTTAGTGAATTAGAATACACCTCCCAATCTCCTGATACTATTCTTATTTACCACAAACTGCAATAACCTATCAAACCACAGTATTAAAAGACTTACTGGCTTTACTAATAAATCCTAACCTTAAACTCCTGAAGATGTTGTTTCTGAAACGGAGAAAGTGAGGAAGCCGGTTCTGTGCGGTTTCTATTTGGATCATCATTCCACACTGGCTGTGCTTGGGATGTCTGAGCAGCTAACTCTGGATCTTGAATTTCATGCCTGGAGCTAGGAACCAAAACTTTTTGACAGCCTGATCTGTTATGAGATTTAGCTAAAGGAAATTTCTTTCCCTCCTCTTTCCACTATCAACAATTTTTTCTGTCTTGTAAAACTAAATTGGTTTTTAGAAACCTTGGTCTGTGCATTCTGACAGTTCATGTTCATGTTCCCTTGTCATTGTATTCTGTGCAAAGCATTCTGCACTCTACAGTCAAGATTTCTAGTTTTCCATTTATCCAAAGGATTGGGTCTTTAAAGGTAGTTAAGTACAGCAGTTACAGAAAATTAAAAATTATATATTGTAGATGGCTGGTCTGATGAGCAAAACAAATAATGTTTCATGCATTGCAAAATGGAGCCAACATGGCTGCTGAACAAACAGAAAAATATTTCTTCTATTCTCTATCAACATCATAAACCACTTCTGTGGGACCTATGAGCAGTCTGCTTAGATTTTAGGCATATTTTTATGGTGCACTTATTATCTTAACATAAACAATTTGGAAGAAATACGAACGTGACATTTTCAAACTTGTTTAACATCGATTTTGCACTACTTCCATTCCATTTTCTTCTTCTTTTCAATGTATAATGGGTCCCAACTGAGCACTTTTGAAAAATCACACTTTGGAGTTGTAAATGACACAAAGGCATACAAAACCCAAGTTCTTCAGTTTAGTACCAAATACTCTTTTAAAAAAAACATTTAGGTAATGAACTTTGTTGTCAATGTGAGTCAAGAACAAAAGTGAGTAACACTGGTATAAAAGAATACATTAGTCAACAATCAACGAGATATCTGGGGAAAGGTATATATGAAAGCTAGTGCAAAAGAAATAAGCAATATTAATGTCCAAGCACACAGGTAATAAAATCTACAAACTGTACATTTAACTGTTACAGTTCAAAAAAGTGTATACACTCAACAGCACAAACATAACTGGAGGCCAAGCTTAGGCCTTTCTGAAAATTTGACTGCAACAGTCTAGCTTACTAGAAATATATACATATATATATATACACACGTATGCATGATTCAACATATATAACATTTCCAGAAGTGAATAAAACAGAATGTCCTTACGTAACTGTAGTCCTGTCTAAACTGAGATATATAGCATTAACCAAACAATTTAGCTAGTTTAGCAAGAAATTTATGTTAGAGGTAGCTTGCACTCTGCAGTGAGAGTTGTATATGCTGCAAAAAGCACAACACTAATATTAATGAAATGTTTACATACTGAAAGTTGTCCAGACAAGAACTGTGGAACATCCCTTAACATGCCAGGACTCATAGGAGAAGTCACTGAAATAGAAGGTCGGTCCATTTTTTGAGATTCAAATGAACTAGAACCTGTAATTATAAACAAAAATATTTTACAAATAGTGGCACTTATGCTTTTTACACAATGTTCTTTAAAGAAAAAATGTACAAATGTAACACAATATACAATAAATTTGTGATAAATATCACTTTTTTATCTATTTAAGATTACCAAATAATGATACTCAATCTTTTGATGCTCAGGTGCAACCAAAAGCTTTCCAAGTTTATTATAGCTGCAAAATGTCATCTGAAGCATACAAAATGAAAAATAGTTTATTCAGATATTTCTGGCTGTAATGATGTCAGTAAGTTGAGGGCCTAAAATTTCTAAATAGTAGAGTAAATATTTTACTCTCATAGAAGCATAGAATGGTCAAATCAACCATATTCTGGTCAAAGGAATTTAGCCTTCTGAAGGACACTTACTATTTTGTACCATCAGATTAATTTTTAATCAGACTGTTAATTAGATTTTTAAAAAAATGTCAAGATGCACATAATTTTTTTTGTGCATTGTGTTTCAAATGTACAAGGTCTGCAAACAGTCAGAGGACAAGTTCTGACAAATAAACATAAAAAAGTAAAGTATTTTTATAAATACAAAAGACATCTCACAAAACGTAAAATGGATTTTATTTTAAGACTTGGCTGATCAGTGAAAAGTTATTGGAGGAGGTTTTCATATTATTATAATCAATTTTATGCCACTGCATTTATTCATGGCTTCTGTTATAAAAGAGTTCTAAAACAACAATAAAAAATAACTCCAGGCTGAAATCCATCTCATTAGATCTAAGCCAATGAACAAGTTATTTTTTCCTTCATGAAATACTGGTTCCGCCAATTTAAAGAGTGCTGAAAGGTTCTAATAAAATAGAACTATTCTGATTTCAAAGTAGCTATCTCTTAGGTTGTAAATAAAGAACATTTCATCCTCATTTTTAGTTTGTAAGTTTCAACTGAAATGCAAGACAATAAAACAGGAAATTAAAAATTACAATTAATGTTCTTGAATCTTAGTTAGAATTATGCTTTTCTTTTCAATTAAAAATAACCTAAGCTTGTAACCAAATGTCAAGACTAAATAAAAACATCCTGACTGTTGACAGCTTATTATTAAACAGAGGTAGCTAGATAATACAGTAAGACGACATATCGAGACAAATACAGACAAAGAGACAAGAGCTATACTGACTGTAGATGACATTTTTCGATCTTTTTGTGCTTACATAAAAGAGAGAGAAGATTTTCCTACCCCACAATTGAAACTTACTGGACTCCAGCTGTGCATGTGTGCTGTCAGGTATTCTGGGAATGTCCCTGAAATCAGGAAAATTAAGACAGGCTGATCCTTTATCTAACAAGCATATTCAAATTTCAGTTGCACTATAACACTTCTCAAGCCACCATGGACTGCCTCAGAAAACCTGCCGGCTGTCTTCAGCCACAAGGAAAATCTATCTTTTACCCAGTATAGATAATTTCAGTGGCAAATTAAAGCCTACAGAAAAAATGGTTTAGTGAATGCAGGAGAAAGGCTGCACAGTCACAAGTAGAATAATTCAGTAAACAGAAAAAGAACAATCTCTGTTCATGATAGACTAAAACTGTGAGTGGTAGACTTTATTATGACATTATACATTAATTAAATTCATTGGACCTTCACTTAATCATGCTAGACTGCCAATAATGGCTATCCCAATATGTCCTTTATTGTGCTTGAACCCCAAATTTGGACAAACTTACCTTTTCTATGACTAAATAAGATCAGCAATTTCATATGGCAAAATTACATACTTGCATATACATGAGATGTTGTATCACCTGTATTAAATTGTGCATATAGCTATGTAATTTCAAAGCACTTGGTCACAATGACTAAGTACCTTATGATGTTCACCCACCTCCCAAAGGAACATGTTCTTCCTATGAGGGGTAAACATTACTGTATGCTACTAAAAAACTATCAATATGCTAAATAAATCACTTTGGAGGTATTTGAGCAAAACCAAGCAAGATGAAGAGCTACAGCTCTGAGTCACAGCAAGACCAATATTTAAAATCATGATGTGTCTTTCAGTGCAGTTGGTTTCTTCAAGGTTGCGTTGGGTATCAGTGCCCAGATGCCCAGTGGGGACTGCAGGGGTGGCCTCTGTGAGAAAAGGCTGGAGCTGCTCAGTGCCAGACACAGCCGGTTCCAGCCGGCTCCAACAGACCCACCACAGGGCATCACTGAGACCCTCAGCCAAAGTGGTGCTGCCTCTGTGATAACATATTTAAGAAAAGATAACAAAAGCTGTGCAGCAGCTGAGAGAGAACAGTGGGGGGAAAAAACCATGGGAGAAACATCCCTGCAGACAGCAAGGTCAGAGGAGGAGGGGCAGGAGGACTGACTGACCACTTCTCCTGCCCCTGCGATGCTTGGTGGGCGGGAGGTAGAAGACTTGGGAACAAAGGAGTGAAGTGCAGCCTGGGAAGAAAGGAAGTGAGGGAAAGGAAGGTGGTTTAAGTGTTGTGTTTACTCCCCACTAGCCTATTATGTTATTAATTCCTAATAAATTAATTTTCCCCAAATTGACTCTGTTTTGCCCATGACGGTAATTGCTGAATGATCTCCTCATCCTTATCTTGACCCATGATCCTTTTTGACTTATTTTCTCCCTCTGTCTTGCTGAAAAGGGGGAGGGAGAGAGTGGTTGGGTGGGTGGGTGGGGGGCAGCCAGGCAAGCTCAACCCACTACTCAAGAATGTGAAAAGGAAAGTTAAAAATGTTTTCAGTGATAGCTACTGTCTTAAACAATGAAAAAAAGAGTCTGTACTATATATAAATAAAGCTTATCCAGTTCCTTTTTGGTATCCGGTTTCCAAACATTTTTTCAAGACTCACTAGAAAGAGAACTTTACTAAGCAGACTGAGGAATTGATGCACCAAACAATTCAAATTAATCAGAAGGCATGCAACTGGTGCAACTGCCCACTGCAGACAAGAAAACATCACTGACTCTGTTGTTAGTAAGAAAAGCTTTCCAGAAACTTACAACAGCTATTGAAGTAGTAAATATTTAAGTCTGCATATTTGATATTTGTAGAATTTATAGAGACACAATACTTGCCTATTACTTTACTAAGAAATACACTCCTGAACCTAACCAGTAACTTTTAAAAAGTATTTCTATAATATGAGTTTGAGAAGAAAACCTTAAAAACATGTATCATTGTGAACAGATTGAACATGAGTTTTCTGCAGATGGCATAAAAACTAATTAAAGCTTCATACACTATTATTTCTGTTCCTAAAGCATACAGATCCCAGTATTTCACAGTAGCATGCATGGTATTTCTTACAAGACACTCTTACTGAGATAAACAGAAGTAGGAGAAGCAGAAGGCATCTCTACATTTTAAGTTATGTTCCACTGCAACCAGATTTTATAGAATAATTAATAAAACACAATTCATCATTCCTTCCGAATTCAAAACAGTAGTAACTATGAAAGCAACACGTATTTTAAAATAACTATTTCTGAGAATTTAAAACAGAAAATAGATAAGTTCTTGTGTATAAGAGACAGCCAGCTCACATAGAATAGCAACTTGGCCATCAATTTTTATTTTAAGATAGAAAAAAGGATAAATTGTATGCCAAAATGACCACTTTTTTTTAAAGGAGCTTTCCATTTTATCTTCCTTTATCACCTTAGCTTGCCATTTTCAGATTTCATAACAGTCAGCCCGTAATAAAATGAAGAAGAACTAACAATCATGCTTACTGGAATTTAGTTGAGTATTCAGAATATCAGGATATAACAATAGCTTCTCTTTCTCAACTAATTGCTAGTAACTGAAGATTTCTTGCATGAGTCAGTGCATTGCCATGAGACCATCAAGAGACTCTATAAGTAACAGGATATACCTCAGTGCAAAAGTGAAATCCTTCAAGTGGGCATCAGTTATTCTCATTAAAATAATGATCAATTCAGACATCTGGTAAATCTGAACTTTCAATGATTTTAAATACTTAGAAACTTTTTTCCCTGGGGCAGAACACAGGCCTATGTTGTTATGTTTCCCTGGGCAAGAATAAGATATTAATTTATATAGTCCATTTGATTATGACCAGAAATCTCCTAAACTAAGAAGATAATATGGTATTTCCAGTTCATCGGCTCAAATTTCATGAAAAAATTTCTGAAGCTATATTGTTAATATCAAAATCCAAAGAGTTACATACATCTAACCATAATCTAAAACATTTCCAATTTGCAGAAAGTATTCATCACTGACACTTCAACTACAAAGTCATTTAACTGGAGTTTTGGAGATGAAAAACCTCTTTTACAACTACTGCAAAAAGACACTGGAAATCAAGTACAGAAAACTTCTTTAGCCCTGATCTATTTCATTTCTTCAGACTATGTGGCAAGCAGTTGATGCTCAAGAAGGAATCTTGAGAGCCCACACTACTTTCTTTAAAGAATCATAGATGAGCTCTACTGACAGCAAGTGGAGCACAAGGTAACATAACAGAAGACATGATGATAAGGAAGGAAAACAACAGACAGTAAATATAAAAGCACAGGAAAGAATACAGGAGGTTTTCCACAATGAAGAGAATGCAGAAAGAGAAAAAAAAAAGTCAAGTATTTTCAAGATGTGAGCAGTTCCTTGAAACGTTTGCTATAATTTTTTGATTGAGAGAAACTATGAAAGATCTTATGCTTGTATGAAATGAATTTGAAACCTCCTTTTCTGAGACATTTTCTTCTAGCAATGCAGTCTGTCCCTTAGCATTACTATTATACCTTGAACTCCCACATCATGCACAGGTTTTTAAGGATAAGACACATGATACAGCCTTTACCCTAAAGGGGCTGCAATTCAGTATGTAGGAGATAACCTCTCGTCTCACTGACAAGGTAAAGCAGTTTTTGTTACTGTCAAGTTCGTTTAATATTGTCAAACCAAACTAAGTTCCTACACATTAAGTTCCTGATGTGTCAAACACATTAAGTTCCTATTATAACTGAAACAATAACTAATTATCTTCACTGAAACTCCATTCTCAGATTATATGGTTCTAGATTTTTCTAGTACTTCTTAATTTTCATTTGTTGTGTTATTCATGTTTTCTGTATGAAGGTAAGATAATTGCATGCATCTTATACAAAATAAAGGAGTAAATATCTTTACTAATTATAATTAATTCTAATTGTAGAATCATAGAACAGCCCAGGTTGGAAGGAATTTTGAAAGATCACCTGATCCAACCTCATGTACAAAAAGAGATCTTAGATGAGATTACCTAGCACCCTGTCCAGTTCTGTCATATACATCATCATAAATTCTGTGGGGGGGGAAGAGAAAATTCTTAACAACTGTAAGCATCTTCAATTTCAATGATAAGCATCCCCCTCTTCACAGCCCTGGTGTAATCTGCTATGGAACTTCCAATGGAGAAGTAAAAAAAGGATGGATGTGATTGTAGGCTGTAGAAACTTGGAAGAAAAAGAACAGTTGAAGTATTCAAAGTGTAACATAATAAAGCAGCTAGAAATGCCCTACTGCTGTGCAAGAAGAATTTAAGTTCAGACATTGAGAGGCAGGTCTGAAAGTTAAGAAAACCGGGCAATGTAAAGCACCAAAGGAAGAGTGTCCCAAAGTTTAGACAAGCACTCCTGCTAGCTATCGATTCAGAAACGTTTTGTATGAGATAATAAGCAATAATTTAATAGATTTCATGGATGAAGGTGATGAGAATGCGGATTGGAGACTTGCCAAAGTGTATTCATTATGTCATTAGCATACGGTACTTTGGGCAAAGTTCTGCATTGCAGAGTCTCAGTAATTAGTGTCCATCATCTGTTCATAGACCAAATATGAATCACAGAATCACAGAATCACAGAATATTAGGGATTGGATATATAATTGGAATATATAATTTTATCTATTACATAAAAATGGGAATGGAGAAATAAAAACTAAGAGTCAAATTATTAACCAAAAACTGCAACAATAAAGAGTATAACCACAGCTTCAGAGCCAATATGGGCTGGATCACCAGCTAAATAACCACAGAAGGGAACCTATTTTTGACCATATTAGCAGATAATCCCTGGGTCTCTGTCAGAGAATACAGGATTTCACACCAGCTCTTTCTACTTACTGGCATGATCTAGCATTCTAGCTATGCTTTTGGTTTACAGATTGTTTTCATACAGTTTTACTATACATTATACATTTTAATCATATTTAATACAAAAATTTATTAAACTACTTACCCTATTGGTCTTGAAACGACTAGCTCAACTTGTGGCTCAGGTTTGGATTCTAAAATGATGTTATACACCTCTTCAAAAGTGGCTCCTTGTAGTAGCCTTCCATTCCATTCTAATACTTCATCACCTGTAATTGGAGTAATAACACTCTGCTTAGTGCATCTGCTATTTACAATGACAAATTAAGACCTCCTACTATCAGTTTACTGAATTGTGAAATCTGTGTTATAGAACAAGTTTGGAGTCCTTTATACAGAAAATTACTGAGTATTAGATGTTTTATGCAGCTCAGCTTCAAATATGTAAAGTTTAGTGAAACAATATCATCAGTAGGACCCCAAATGAATTAGATCCAGCTCTTACTCACTTTGGCTTTAAGCTGTAGCTTAAAAGAAATTCCCAACGTGCTCTTCAAAAACTGTAGATCTTTAAAACAGCACATTCCATCAATTTACTATTTGAAGATCCATTTACCTCTACAAGTTTAGTATTTAATGTTCAAATAGTTCTTATGTTAACTATTTATATTTCTTGCATGTTCTCAAAACTATCAATTCATGGTTTGCATATGGGGATAGAAGCAGTTTCTTAGCTGAGCTGGTTCTATTGGCACATCTTTCATAGCTTGGTTTGCTCTAAATAAAATATACACCACAAACAACTAGGCAGGACATCAACAGAATATTATTTTGAGTATGAAAACGTGAATAAAAATGTTAGAAAATTATTTTTAACAACATGATAATTTATATCTTTCATAAAAGCAGTAAATCTAGTAACTGAGTGTCAGGTTGAATTCTGCAGTAGTTCATGCCTATTTAACAAAATTTCACATCTAATTAAACTCACTCACTTGTTATCACCTTTAGAAAAGCAACTCAACAGTACAGATCTGTAGCGGACACATACCTGGTCTAAGATGCCCCACTGTATCAGCTAAGCTTCCTTTTTTAACTTTGGTGATAAATGCGCAGAGTCGACCTGATTCAGTCATCTTTCCTCCTACTACCTGTTTCAAAGAGGAAGTATTTTCATAGAACAAAAATTACTTTAAATTACTTAAATGGTCTAGTAACACACACACTATATAATATGTGAATAGTTTGATTATAAAAGTAGCTAGTTTAACTGAGAGACTTGTTAGTTCCAAAATTATTCATTACCAACCTTCAATCCAAGCATTGCTCCTGAGTCTCTAGGCACACTTCCATCTTTTAGTCGTTTATTTAACAAAATACGACCAATGAGACGGTCTCCATCTTTGGATGGTTGCCAAGTTACTGGATGCTATCATACGGTGTTAATGGAAAATACAGTGAATACAATTTTAAAGAAAAATATTTCAGCAATACTTTTCATTTCCTGATATATTTTTAAAATGAAAGTGTTATGATTACACTAATATTTAATGTAATAGAATGACAGAAAACTGTGCTGGAAAATATTTATTTGGACATATAGTCCATCAGAATGGATTTCTAATATTTAAGAACATTATTTATTTTACTAAATCCAATTTGTAAATATCTAGAACAATATTTGCATCTTGATGATTTGACAGACTTAGACACCTAGACATAGCTATCTACACACAATGACAATTACACCTGACAAAAACAACTGTAAAGGTCTGGTATAAAAGTAATACTAAAAAGAAGTTTAACTCAAGACAGAAATTTGATGCAAGACATTTTTTCTTTTTCCACTATTCCAAACATGTCCGTTTTCTCTGTCTGACAAACTTTTTCAGTGTTTTCATTTTACTTTCTCTCAGTAGTAGTATTTTAAAAATTACAGAATACATTAAAAAGTATAGACATTATTTAAATGCATTGTTTCTCTCTTGGAATAATTTCTTCACATATGAAGCACAGTTACAGTGAATGTTATGATTCCATTACTATATACGGACACAGTTATACTTTTACATTGGCATAATTAATGAAATTTCAACATTTTATTTTGTGTAATCATAGCACTTTTTCACAGAAAAATACTATTTCATGCTCTATTTCATGCAAAATTAGCAGACACAGACAAATTTGCTCCTATTACAACTAATAACTCTAAAAAGATTTATCATAATCTCCACCAAACAGAAAGCAAAAATAAAAAATACCAAAGCAGATGGCAAAGCCTTCATTCTGCACAATACTGCACAAAAACAGCATGGCAACAAAACAAAAGAGCAACCATGACAGTGAAAGGGAAAAAAGAAAAACAACTTTTCTGTGCAGAGAGACCCAATTTTCTCCCTTTTTCACCTGGGCTTTAAACTATTAATTTAATTTCAGCCCCAGGAGTTTGAACATAGTAAATGAAGTAAGCCAATCAGTAGAATCCTTGTTGTTAAATTACTTTATACTTCAAGGTAATACCATGATATGCTATTATGCAATCATAAGAATAACATTCCTTTATGACTCTGATTTTTTTTTCTTAGGCTGCCAAACAGTAAAAGCTGCAAGCATGCAAAGACTTTTAATTTGTTTTTCTTTTCTGCACCTTTAGAAATGCTACATTGTCTCTAGAAACACCCTATCTTTTATTTTATGCACTATTTTAATGAGTGACAGAGAGCAAACAAAGACCAAATGAGCAGGTTAAAATGCAGGCTCCACAATCTCAGTACCTTCTCGCTATGACTATGTTCTTCGTTTAGGGTTGTGCTACTACAGGTATCTACCCCAGAGTCTTTTATCTGAGGCTCAGACCATTCCAAGTCCTCTTCCAAAGAGTGGCCACCAAAGCACACCATTTTCTTTTGCCTCTCGGTTAAGGCGTTAGAATCCGACAAAACTGCCTGCTCACTAGTTTTTCTTTTTCCCCTTTGACTGTCCCCTATAGGTGTGGGATAAAAAAAGATACAAAAAAGAAAACATGCAAAGGTGTAAATAAAACAAAGAAAATGTGAAATGATCAAGAAATCTAAATGGTAAGGCTCCACATGTCTCACCAAAGACATTGGGGATGCCTCACTGCTATGCCAAGACGTATGGTCCAACCAGTTGTAATCCATGTCTCCTGTGAGAATCAGACAGACAAGATAGTGCAGTAAAGAAATGGTGAAAGAAAAGACAGACAAAGATACAGTAAAACTGTAGAATTCTGATTATCCTAGCTGATTCATAACCTCTGCTAGCAGGACTTGCAAAGTGCTTCCAAGAAAAAGTTAAGGCTCCGACAGCAGAGTATGTGGAATATGAAATACAGTGAGGAAGAAGGTACATTTGTGTGTGGCTAGATGTGCATAAAATTATGTATAGTGTAAAGCATTATTGCTTCACAGTTTTTAACTGTTTCTATAAAATTAGGTAAATTAAATGAAAATACAAATTGTATTGTATTACTATCAGAATTTTCAGAAAGAAAGCATTTGAATATGAGTTTTCATCATAAAGAGTTTTGTCCTACGGAATGCATTTCTTTGCTTTTCTAACACAAACTAGTATTTATTCTAATCACTGCAATAAAATACTTAAAATAATGGTACTCTATCTTCAGATGTACAGTAGATGATTTTAAGGAAAGTTGAAGGATCCACTAAATATGATAGATTGATAAAAAACACAAATATATAAAATATTTTTTAGAATAAAAAGTGTATTAACTTTGCTTGAAATTCCCAAAGTGTCTACTGTTTAAATATCAAGAACTCTAGCAAGTACAGGTACCTCATAACTGGTAATGAATGTGTAGGGTTTTGATGAAATATATACATATATTTTATAGAATCAGACTTTAACCTGCATGGCAAACACATGGTGGGAAGAAAGGTTTAAAAAACAGTTGTAAAGGAAAGGTCTAAATTAATGCTGCTGTCCGGAGAACTGGAGAAAGGTTCATGTATTTTAATGAAACATTCTCTTTTATGTAGGTACTTTAAATTTTAAATTATGCCCACATATTTTGCATTATTACATTTCTAATGCTTTCCCCCCCATCATCATTACTACATTTTATATGGAAAATATTTTCTTACTACATGCTACATAACATTTTGATACCATTGTATGCTGGAAAAAATGTTGACTTTTCTATCAAATTTCATGACCAAAAGAACACTAAATCAAAGTAATTCTACTCTTTTTAGTACAGATCGCAAACCATATTTTTCTGTTTCCATTACTTAAGAACCTGCTTTGACATTGCTCAATCTAGTCCTCTGAAACTACATCAATAAAATGGTGAAATACAACTAATAGGTTTAATCACAGTCTTAACACTGGTCTAGAAAACTGTAGAGATCACCTGAAGATAAAACTAAGCTACAGAAAGCTAATACGTGCTTTAGAAAAGTAAAATCTAGTCTTCTCAGAGAGATATTAACAATAGATTTATTTTTTTCATATTTTTTCACTTTTTTCCTCCTAATTTATAGACTTGCATATACGACTATATGGTGCATTCACATACTACATGTATCCAAGATTAGACACATTTAGCCCAGCATACTCAAGGAATTAGCACATAGAAATTACATACATTTTAAAAGATCCAGTTATTTTGCAGCAACAGGTACCCTTTAGCAATTGCTAAGCACTGAATCTAAACCTGCACAAAGGAACACATGCAAAGTTGAGCCTGTTGCCAGATTGAAGTATTCCCACTTCTTGCTGTACTCTTTTCCCCTCTTCTTTTCAGTCAAGACGCAGAAAGCTTTCTTTTTAATTTAGTCGTGTCTCACAGTAAATACAGATTATTCTAAAATTAAAATTATAAGAAAATAATCATCTCCATCCAAATATTGTTTTGTTCATATCTGTATTCCTTTTTTATTAAAATATGTAGATATATATTTCAATAAAAAAGTCCTAGAAATTAGAAATTATAAGTATCCTTTATGTCATCTAGGTTTTGCCCTTAACACTGCATTAATTCATCTAAATGATTAGTCTAAATAGTATAAAAGTTATTCAAATGCAATCAAACTACTATTAATAAAATATATAAACTTATAAAAATATGCCCAGAAAGCCCTGTAGCATATTACATTTCTATGAGAGCCATGTATTGCTTAGTACACCCACACTTTTTTGAGGTACAATGAATGACTTGATAAATCACTGGACATAAATTTTTCAGTGTAAGTTCTATAAATACTGAAATCTTGACTGGCTAAATAATTTATAAAATCTTGTAAAATTAAAAATATGACATGTAAGACATATAGTTCTTTGTTTCCCTAC